TTCCCTACAAGAGCCTAGTTAGTAGCAGATTGGAAAACCTTTGGCTCCAGTGGTACTGCTGGGAACTTGTTTGAGAGATGTTTTACATAGTGAGCACAGTGTTTTCATTCATATTTTATTTATGAAATAAACTGCTGGACAAGAAGAGACTGTTGAAGGTCTGAAGAGTCTAAAACACCCCAAACCCTCAGCTTCTAGGTGTAGCAAGCAACCATTGATAACTCTTCTTCAAGCATAAATATAAACATTTAATATATTTATAATATAACATTTAGTTTGGGGTGTTATATTCTGTGTACTCTTAGTTAAATTTCTTTTTGTAACTAATTGTGTCTTAGAAAATGTTTTTCTTCAAAATTAAAATCATAACATTTTTATTGGCTGTATAAAATTGTAGTATATGAATTTAACAGGATACAATTTGGTGATAAAAATTATCTGTGAATATACCTGTCTTTTGCACATTTTTGCATAGTTTCTTTAGCTCCTTGAGAGTATAATAGTTGGATCAAAGAGCATAATAATGCACCTTTAATAACTTGCTGATTTTACTACCAGAGAACAAATACGTATTTTTACAAAGGAAATTTATGTTATGGATAAGAGAAGGTGAAAAACATGCACCTTCACCTTCCACCCCCAATATTTTCTTCCCTGGAGGTAACCTGTTAATGATTTTTTAATATTGTTTGAGAAGTTTTACTTGCATTTGTGTTCATCTTTAAGAAAGAAATGAGAAAACATCAACTTTTTCTACAACCTTCAATAATTTGTATGTTTTACTATCTCTATTGAGACATCAATCCCTAATAGTCCCAAGCAGTTCTACCTCATTATTTTCTAAGTTACATCGCATTTCTTTATATTAGTGCTAGGATAGTTTATTCACACATTATTCATCTTTTTCTTTGCTCTTTTTCAAAATGCCACTGCAGTGGACTCACACAGTGTAAAGTCTGTGTGGAAGGTTGGCGATAATAGCCTAGGAGTGTGGGGTACTGTCTGCTCCTGTAAGCTGCTTTTGTTTTGGGTTTGTATTTCTTTATGCAGTCCAGTCGCAGTTTTTCCTCTGTAGATCTGCCACCCATTTGTATTTTACGGTGATTTGTCAGTTTCTATCCCTTTCCTCATTTTTGGGCTTGGTTTGGTCTTTATCTTGTTGGTTTACAAGAGCTCTTCATTTAAGATAATTAGCCCTGTGTCCATTACATGTCGTCTTACCTAGTTGTCGTTTTATCTTTAGACGGCAATGGGTATTTTTGCTGCCGGATTTTCACTTTTTTCATTTACATAAATGTATAAATGGCTTTTTTTTTTTTCTTCACCGGTTTTTCACTTGGACATCATAGTGGACTCTTTTTCCTTTTGTCCCCGTTCTTCGGGGGCTACACCTCACACTCCATACCGCTTTTCCAGACCCCACTTCAGGACCCCTTGCGTTGGCTTGGTTGACGTCAATGCCTTTCCTTCGCGCCAAGCCATCGCCACAGCAACCATGGCCTGATTGGCAGGGTGCGGGGGGCCCGATGAGGGGGCCTTAGGGGGCGGTGCCATCTCTCATTGGCTGGCCCGGGAGCCCCGCCTCTGCAGGGGAGAGCTGACTAGAAGGCGTCGGGCTGCTAGTCTGGCCAGACGCTCGGGAGGAGCTGAGAGAGAGAGGGTCGGAGACGTCCACGCTGGGCTGGTGGCGCCGCCGCGCGCCGGGCTGTGTGTGGGCGCCCTAGACAGCTGCGGCTCCGGGCAGCGGAGCGCTGGGCGCTGTGCAGAGGTGCGGTGAGGTGAGTCACTGCTGGCCGCCCGCGTGCACAGCCGG